ACACACACACACACACACACACACACACACACACACACACACACACACACACACACACTTTTACTTCCATCATACTGAGGACTTTACATTGACTTCCATTTTTGTAACTGCATTTATGCTTAGCCTGGCCCTTGCCTTCCTACGCAGTTCTGCTCAATTCCAATTTCGCTTCTCTGCTCCGTCTGGCATTTCTCCCATAGACAAGGATTTCGCTGGCAGATTTTTAGCCGAACCAATCAGAGAACAGAACGTCGATTTTTTTGTGCAGTGTCAGCTTGTATTTTGTTTCACATGAGCCAATCAACACGGGCTTTTGAATGATGTCGATTTTCTGCACAGTGTCTGCTAGTTTAGTTTAGCATACGGCAGTGGAGGAAGTGAATGAAGCCAGTCTGTGTTGATAAGGCTTCCAAATTAAAATAAATTTGTCTGACAAAGCAGCAGCTCTCATTTACAGTCGTCTCGTTCGGCTCGGTACTTTTCTCCTCCCAGTAGGGTTGTTTACAGTGCTCGCAATTTCCAGTTAGTTTCTTAGCTTAGCCTCCTTCACAGCAACAACATGTACGCTTCAACAGAGGCCACGCTTCCAGCAAGAATTGCTTCTCTATAGCAGCGAGTCCAGACCCTATTACAAAGCAAAGTGAAGGACAATGGTCTGTCTGGTTTTTACCAGGCTAATTTATGCTTAACCCAGACATTTTCCCTAACTTCATTCTCACTACACATCTAAACCTAACTGGTAGAACACAGTAAAACTGTAAAAAGAATGAGGAGTGGGAAAATATCCTCACTTCCCAAAAATGACCTCACTTTGTCGGTTAAAAACATTACGGTCCTCACCCTACACAGTACACACACACATATGCAAAATAATGACAATCAGCTTTACAAAAACTGAACATCATCCTTAGATCTGCTTTAGTATTAAAACTCGATCTGCTCACCAAGATATAGAATTTGTTCAATTTCATAAAATCTTTGCAGCTGCTCTACCTGAGCTGCCACCTTATAGTGGTGGAGAGGCTTGAGTGTCCTAATGATCCTAGGACCTATGTTGTCAGGGGCTTCATGCCCCCGAGAGGGTCATCCAAGGCAAACATGTCCTAGGTGAGGGATCAGACAAAGTGCAGCCCAAAGACCTCTATGATGAGTGCAACAGTTGGACATGCAGTTCCCTCTCCCAGATGCAGGTCACCAGGGCCCCACTCTGGACCCAGGCCTGCAGGTGGGGCATGTTGGCGAGCGCCTGGTGGCCGGGCTTTCGCCCATGGAGCCCAGCTGGGCACAGCCCGAAGAAGACACGTGGGTCCCCCTTTCCATGGGCTCACTACCTGTGGGAGGGGCCATAGGGGTCGGGTGCAATGTATGTTGGGCGGTAGTCGAAGGCGGGGACTTTGGCGGTCTGATCCTCGGCTGCAGAAGCTGGCTCTAGAGACGTGGAATGTCACCTCTCTGGTGGGGAAGGAGCCTGAGCTGGTGTGTGAGGTTGAGAGGTTCHRACTARAYAYARYYGGACTCACCTCGACGCACCGCTCTGGCTCTGGAACCAGTCTCCTCGAGAAGGGTTGGACACTCTTCCATTCTGGAGTTGCCCATGCTGAGAGGCACCGAGCAGGAGTGGGCATACTTATTGCCCCCCATCTCAGTGCCTGTACATTAGGGTTCACCCCGGTGAATGAGAGGGTAGCCTCCCTCCCCCTATGTGATGGGGGACGGGTTCTGACTGTTGTTTGTGCCAATGCGCCTAACAGCAGTTCAGATTACACCATCTTTGGAGTCCTTGGAGGGGGTGCTGGAGAGAGCTCCTAACGGGGACTCCCTCTTCTTGCTGGGGGACTTCAACGATCACATGGGCAATAACAGTGAGACCTGGGGCGTGGTTGGGATGAGGACCCCCCCCCCCCCCCGATCTGAACCTGAGTGGTGTTTTGTTATTGGACTTCTGTGCTCGTCATGGATTGTCCATAACGAACACCATGTTCAAACATAAGAGTGTCCAAATGTGCTCTTGGCACCAGGACACCCTAGGCCGCAGTTCAAAATGATGTCGAGAGGAGCCAGTTGAGGTGGCTCGGGCATCTGGTTAGGCTGCCTCCTGGACACCTCCCTGGTGAGGTGTTCCGGGCATGTCCCATTGGGAGAAGGCCCAGAGGAAGACCCAGGATCATGGGAACACCTTGGGATTCCCCCAGAGGAGCTGGCCCAAGTGGCTGGGGAGAGTGAAGTCTGGGTCTCTCTGCTTAGGCTGCTGCCCCCGAGACCCGATCCCTGATAAGTGGAAGATAACATCTTCATCCCTGAAAGAGTGACCGCTGGCCTGTAGACGAGTGTGAACTGCAGAATCCTGAACTCATTATGTACTGAGA